GTGTTGTACAACCTATGCAGTAGGGGTCAGAATTTTTCGAATCCATTGAGATGGTTCTTTGATGTCTTCTAGTCGACGTGCTATCATGCAGCGGAACACCTTCCGAAACACTGGGTGCCTACACGCGTAGATGATTGGGTTCACGCAGTAGTTCAGTGACATGATGACGTAGAAAGCTATAAATATTGGCGGATCAATAAACGTGAAAAAGGTCACCGTAGTAGGCGCGATGCATACAAAGAAAAATAAGACAACAACGAATAGATTCTTTGTGATTTGTTCGTCCAGCTGACGCCGGTCGACTTTCCTTTCTCTTGTCCGGATACTCCTGGTGGGATCTCCTTGGACGTCGACGCGCACGCTCTGACGCATACTGTTTCTAACTTTTTGCACGTGGTTCCGAACATGCAAATAAATGCCGATGTAACAAAACACCATTGCGACCATTGATATTAAAGTACATGCGCCAACGAGGTAATTATACGTATGTCCTTTCACGACACCGCAGAGATGGTTAAACAAGCCAAAATGTACACGACCTACCCAAAGGAAAATTATAAGCAGTACAATAGGAATTGACAGTACAAGCACGATCACTGCTGCAATCTTGCGTTGAGAAAATAGCATCTGATGATTTTGCGATGGTCTCGTGATGATCAGGTATCGGCCGAATGCAATGACGACTAAAAGACTGAAACTCCAGAAGTTGACGACACATGTAATCGCACCCACCACTTCACAGACGAGTAAGTAAGATTTATGTGCGTCTGTAGCGCCAAGCAACGCTCCCGCCTGAAACGGTAGAACAAGAGCGCTCAGGAAATCAACGCAGCTCAGCGTCACTACGAAGGCATTGGTGGGGGTCTGGAGTCGGCGGGACAGCGACACGGCTACGATCACGAACAGGTTCCCGACAATACCGATGATGCAGATGACGATGAGGATGCAAGCTGGAGCCATTAAGTACGGGTTGATGCCCATGTTGTGTGTGACGCTATTTGTTGTAGGCTGAGAAAAGGTCATTGGAGATTCTGTGGTAGTCACATCACTGTCAGTGGCGGTTTGCGTTTCCATGTTTCCTAATCAAAGAAACAAAAAGGGAAATCGTTTTAACAAAGCGAAATTTAAGAGAGGGAAAGATGGGATGAAAGTTAGAAATGCAAAGAAAGAGTACTGTAGGTAGGCTTAAAGTACAAATACGGTAGATAGAAGGCTTGTTTGAAGACACTGAGAAAAGAAGATGTCGAGAATAACTATGGAAATATGAAAGTGACTAGGAACAGTAGGGGGTTAGGGAGAGAGACGGAAAAAACACGCATCCACATTCACTTTAGACAGAAACTAGAAGGGGCACTTATCATTAAAAAGGGCACTTTAGGGGTAGGACCTCGTGTAAAATACGGTTCTAGAACACCTACCCCCTGGACATCCACCCCCGGATAACCACCCCCAGTCAACTACCCCCCCCCGGACAACTACCCTCAGACAACTACCTCCCGGGACAACTACCCCGGACAACTACCCCGGACAACTACCCCCTTGGACAACTTCCCCCGGACAACTACCTCCAGACAACTACCCTCTACGACAACCATCCTCTAGGACACCTGCCTCCCTGACAACTATCCTAGGGGGTAGTTTTTCTGGGGGTAGTTTTCCGGGTGGTAGTTGTCCGGGGGTAGTTGTCTGGGGTTAGTTGTCCGGGGTAGTTGTCCTAGGGGTTAGTTGTCTGGGGGTAGTTGTCCGGGGTAGTTGTCCCGGAGGGTAGTCGTCCTAGAGGGTGGTTGACTGGGGGTGGTAATCCGGGGTGGATGTCCAGGGGTAGGTGTCCGGATACGAAAAAATACCTGTACGCCCAATCTGCTCCTTCATCAGAGTTGCCTTTTCAGATGAGTCCTACTTGTTTCTGACTGATCATATACTTCTTTCGATATATTGCATACATTGCAATGATGGTTCACAAATTGCCATTTCGGATGTCTATAATGGTTTATATCTATTTTTGAGAAATCAATTGGCACGGTGAACAAAAAAGACATCCAGGGATTGAGGTTAAATATACACATGAGCACGATCGATAAAGTATGCTTTAAACAAAACCGATAAATTGGGAATAGGGTAAGATTGTAACGCTGACAACTAATGTGACTGGAATCGAACAAAAAATGTCATGGTTACAAAAATAGTTTTAAAGAGTTTGAAGTATGTATCAATATCACATGCAGTAAATAGCCTTGATATGGCTGTAATTTCATGGATCAGGAAACGCTAAACTAATTACCTCTATTTTGTAACAGAACAGGATATTGCCCTATTCCGATCGCTTATTATCTGTTTGCTACGTCATGCAAAGTAAATTATGCAAATAAAGATTATTGTTCAATTTTGCAAATATGCTTGCACAGTAAACCACATAACCCACGTAAAACAAAAAATACGGCATTGTTTTTGCAGATATATAAACATGACTGTACATGTCAAATAAAAGGCAATGCAGTCATGCAAGAGAAAGAAACCGTTTCATAATATATATTTTTGGATTAGTTTATACCTAGGCGGGTAGAAGATGAACCGCATAAGAGTTCGTATTAAAGAGTGACGTGTAGCATCTGTTGTTCAGAATATATAGGAGATCAAATGATAAAAAAGGGAAATAAATGAACTTAGTAGTTTCAAATTTTCCCCAATGGTTTTCCTTTTAATCGGTCAAATTTAGAAATGTCACAAACCGAAAATACATTGAACTACTATTGTATGCAATTAAACAAAAGCATTATATTAGCGGGAGGGTTGAAGCCAAGGGTTATGTCTATCCTCTATTCTAAACCATTACATTTTTGTCGATAAGTCTATATTATACATCAATTGTCCTTTTGTTTTAATGGTTATTGTTTCATGAGTAGCTATCAACCCCCTCCATACCATGAGGTAATGATATGGATACAGTCCTATGACTTCCAAATACAAAGTATTATCAAACGTGAGTGACTATTATCAGTTATATCCAAAATGTGTAATAGTCTTGTTCAACAAAACATGGACAACGTTTTAATCATTTGACAATAATATCTCCCAGTTTCCTTCCATCTAAAATCGAGAGCAAGTATAGCTCAGTCGGTAGAGCAGTGGTCTCTGAATCCGGTGACCCGGGTTTGAAACCAAGGCGATGCGATAGTGCCCTTTGATTAAAAAAAGAAAAGAGAATGCCTCTCACCTGTTAAAGAAAGGTCACTTGGTAAGTTGTATCTTTCTTGAGGCGGGTTCCGACGATGTCGATCATTCGTGGTCGTCCAAAGAATAGGATCACATCAGTCGCACTGGATCTCTAACTGCACTAGACCCAGGTAAGCAGATGACTGGAAGAGGTGTGATTCTGTGACGCGTTATCCTAGCACTTTCGCAATGTTCGTAATTATAAAAGGCGGAATATATCAGCCGGTATAATGGGCGATTGTCTGGGTTCTGGAAAGTGAGGTTAACCCGATTTTTGGAATGACGTTGCGCTCTTCCTCTGGATTAGCCACTAGTCCTCTAATTACGTAGTCCCTCGGATAGGACTTCAGCAGAAAGTCGCCTGGAGCTCATTGCCTTTCAACTAACGCAGTGGAAAACAAGCCATCGGAGCAAAGGAACTATGAAAGCTTTTGATAGGAAATTGAGTAGACCTATAAATGAATGAAAATCAAAGCTCGTTAATTTTTTGTCACGGATCGAAATTGAACAATGGTCTATAAAAGTCAGGTCACGGTTCGCGAATTTTGGTTACATCACAGAGGGAAAAAAAGGAGAGCCGTATTAAGCAGATAGTTCTATCAATTTTTACGTACCTCATTGCGTTCAATCGCTTAATTTCAATCTCAAGGTTGCGATCAAAATAATGTCTAAATTAGATCTTTTCCGGTATAACTGTTACTGAACGTCATGCCGGCTTCCTAAATTCATCAACCATACAAAGTGTACAGTCTATCAGTTCACATCCTCTATAATAATAATAATAATAAAACGGTGGTTATAAAACTAAAAGCGCTTTCTACCGGAGTCAAGCGCTAAAACAAACACACTACAATGACAAACACTTATGTATTAAACTTACAAATTACAAATTATAATACAATACATATGAAATATATATCGATGTGAACAGAGTAAGTTAATCATCAAAAGCAATTTTGAATAAATTTTTCTTAAGACAAGCTTTGAATTGGTTGACAGTCTGACAGTTTTTGACATGTAAAGGTAGTTGTTCCAAAGTTCAGCAGAAGCTTTGCAAAAAGAACAGTGACCATGACAAATAGTTGACGCCGAAGTAGACACGCAGAAAATGTGTTTGGTTGTTGCCCGTAACTTGAATTCCTGTTAGTTAAAAAAGTCACTCTTGTATGCAGGGGCGGATCCAGCCAGCCGGCAATAAGCGGGAGGAGGGGGGAATTGAGCACTACTTTTTGTATTGCTCAACGAGGAGGGGGGGGGGGGGGGAATTGAGCACTATTTATTTTACTCAACGTCCCCACCCCCTTGAGCAACAAAAAAAAGAAGATCAAATTGTGGTAACCATCTTTTTTTTGCCAGGGGTGGGGGCCCCCGTCTTCTTTTTTTGTTAAAGGTAAAATCGTCGTTACCATCTTTAAACCTTTTTTTCCCAATGGTGGGGGCCCGTGCCACCAACCTGGATCCGCCACTGTCTAGAGAAATGTGAGGGAATAGGCCGGTCAATTACAGGACCAAGTTTCAGAGAGTCAAGGAAGGAGAGAAGGAGTAAGAGATACAGCAATACTTCAAGTGTAACCCTAAAGGTTAACTGTTTGTGACATTTACATAATATTGAATTGGATCTTGAATATATTTATTTGTTGAAGTATCACAACTTACTGTCGTTGCGTACAGTAAATGGACTGCATGGTGTATAATTATGGTTAAACTGAGATTAAAGAGAGGGTATTGCTGGACTAAAATGTTAAATGACATGTAAAGGTGCAATTACTTTGAATTATCATGTGACACCGTCGCACGGCTGGCAGAAGGGCGTTAGCTCGAATTTCGGGTCAAAAATCGATTTTTGATATTTCATGTCATTTAATAGAGTTTTCAAAGCTCTTTCAAATGATGTGATCGAGACAGCATAAAACGAAGTAAATGATTACGTAATCGACAATAGTAAAAGGGCGTTAGCACAAACTGGCAGATATCGCGCTAAGCAGAAGGGCGTAAGCCCTCTACGCCCTTTGCAAATTGGGCGCGAGCGTAAATTTTGATCAAAGCAGAAGGGCGTTAATCGCCGGTTATCGCGAAGCTGACGTCTGCTAGGCCTGTGGTAAGCAAAATAACTGCTTCTTCTTTTAAATAACGTGTTGTAAATGTCAAATTATCTGGAAGATTTGATATATTTGGTCACACTGATTACATTATGATTAGGACTGTAAGAATATTTTGATTTTATCGGGTAAAAATGCGATGTATAATGATGATAATTAATACGTTGCCCCGTGTATTGATTTATATGGTATCACGGACAAATTCTAAGCAGTCATTACGCATTAGCATTGACTCTCTATGCTGGGGTGGATGTTGGGTGGCATTGATGCTGGAGTGGGTGGCAATGGAAGCGCTCCCTTGAAGTTGAAGGCCTCCAAATATGAAGTAGATCTAGGTCTAGCAACAAGCTTCAAGCCTCGAGTCAAGGGTGATGTTCCACGCAGTTACTGTCCCGAGGGAAACATCAGTTCCCGTAGAGAGTTGGGTGCGGGATGTGATGTTGTTTGTGTGATGTTGTTCAGTTAGAGCAAGATAGTCTACATGTAGGCCTACAGTATGTAGGAGTAGTCGTCAATCTATATCTGTGCCGTGATAATCATTTCATTGTTTATTCGCTCTCATGGAAAGACGAGACAAGAAAACAATTTGTAAAGACAGTGGTACGGATTGAAATTTGAAAGCATGCTTAGCGTAGATCTACAAAATTAGTTAAATAAATGTCAGATTGTTAGTAGTATACCGTATTCAGGTATTATTATATTAATTGCAACAGTGCAAGCAGATTCTAGACTCTAGAAGTCTAGATCCTAATAGATTATTGTTCAAATTAAATTTGCAAAAATGATAGAAGAGTCTAGTCTACAGATATGAAAGGAGAATGGTTTGAACTTTGATACCTTTGTCTTTTAGTGGCTTTGTTGAAGTTTGTTCAACTTTAATCAAGGGCAATCTCAAATGATAGTTGCATGTCTAGAACTCTAACATTCAACTTAAGTTTCTACTTTCCCGCTACTGGAACTGGGGACGGTCAATTGTAAAGTAGCTTGTAAGTTGGATTAGATCTACTTTCAGTCAAATTAATGTAACCCTTTTGTTTCCCTCACTTTGTCAGGATTTGCACAGCTAGGCTACAGCATGGAGCAAACAACAGAATTGCTGGTTCAGTGGAAAAAAGATGGCTCCAAAAACGTGGTAGTGTATGGAGATATTCAATGTCCCTGTATTCCAATAAAAGGGACAAAAGTCTTCATGCCTTGGAAAGGCAGGAGATGGGAGGGAGTTGTCCTGGCAGTGGATGATGAGTCTGAGGAAAGTGATGATGACAGCATACCACTTGCTCAACTAATAATTAAAGGTAAGATTTTATGTTGACAAGTAGACTTGTGACAATGCAGAATATGAAAGTGCACAACAAAGTTTTGACAGTCCTTGACCCCGTTTGAGATGGGTTTAATTCTGGTATAACAAATTTACAATAAACTCCAGCCCGAGATATCTCGGGAATAGTCTTGAACAGGTAAAAGTTCACATTTAAAGAAACTCGAGGGAAAAAAATTAGGTATATACCTTTACCTTTACCTTTACTGCAAATACTGGAAGAATGCTGAGACAGCAGTCTAGCTTCCAGGTCTATCTTCTTGTACTCAAACTCTTTAATAACAATTCTCATAATATACAAGAGATAAATGATTTCAAGAAACGTAATATTCATTAGTTTTTAGTGTGTAATTATTTTTTTTAATATTTGTCGTTCATTTATCTGTCATCACACAAAATAAAAGTTATAGTGCCTCCCAACATTTTGGAAGTGTCTTCTCATATTTTTGAAGTGTCTACAAGTTTCTAATGAATTTAAGCAAAATTTGAATTTAAAAACATGAGAATTGTACGTATATTATCTGCTTCTCTTAGTGTTGGCCTTTGAACATTATTGTTTAAGAGTAAGTAGCTTGTTAAACTAAGTTGCTATATAGAGTATAATGATTTCTAAATGAATATTTCTGAATTATTTTCATTGTAGACCGTGTACCTCTACCAGATCAACCAAGGCTTGACGTTGGAGATGTCGGTGTCACAATGACAGGTAATGTACATGTATGATACTATTGATGAAACATTGTTGGCCTACATACTATTCAGTTTGGTTTTATAACAATATGATAGCAATCATTGAACTAAAATGCTATGCAGTATCATGATGTCTAAATGAATATTTCTGAATTATTTTCATTGTAGACCATGTACCTCTACCAGATCAACCAAGGCTAGACGTTGGAGATGTCGGTGTCACAATGACAGGTAATGTACATGTATGATACTATTGATGAAACATTGTTGGCCTACATACTATTCAGTTTGGTTTTATAACAATATGATAGCAATCATTGAACTAAAATGCTATGCAGTATCATGATGTCTAAATGAATATTTCTGAATTATTTTCATTGTAGACCGTGTACCTCTACCAGATCAACCAAGGCTAGACGTTGGAGATGTCGGTGTCACAATGACAGGTAATGTACATGTATGATACTATTGATGAAACATTGTTGGCCTACATACTATTCAGTTTGGTTTTATAACAATATGATAGCAATCATTGAACTAAAATGCTATGCAGTATCATGATGTCTAAATGAATATTTCTGAATTATTTTCATTGTAGACCGTGTACCTCTACCAGATCAACCAAGGCTTGACGTTGGAGATGTCGGTGTCACAATGACAGGTAATGTACATGTATGATACTATTGATGAAACATTGTTGGCCTACATACTATTCAGTTTGGTTTTATAACAATATGATAGCAATCATTGAACTAAAATGCTATGCAGTATCATGATGTCTAAATGAATATTTCTGAATTATTTTCATTGTAGACCATGTACCTCTACCAGATCAACCAAGGTTAGACGTTGGAGATGTCGGTGTCACAATGACAGGTAATGTATGATACTATTGATGAAACATTGTTGGCCTACATACTATTCAGTTTGGTGTTATAACTATATGATAGCAATCATTGAACTGAAATGCTATACAGTATCATGATTTCTGAATGAATATTTCTGAATTATTTTCATTGTACATCATGGACCTCTACCGGATCAACCAAGTGTCGGTAGGCTTGATGATGGAGACGTAAAGCAATGAAAAGTAATGTCACGAAGAAACATTGTTGGCTTACATACTTTCCAAAATGATTTGATGATCATTGTTAGCTTTTATGCATATGCAGTAAATGTCATTTTTTTTTATAAAGTTTTCATCAAATTTTCAATTTAGTAAAGTTAAATATATTAGTTATTTAGGCCTATTAATAAACCAGACTGAGATAGCTGATGAAGTGATATTCAAGTTTTCTTTTTTTTTCCCTTTATTTTGTTAATGTTCTCTTTGCATTCATAGTCATGCCTTGGAAAGGCAATAGATGGGAGGGAGTTGTCCTGGCAGTGGATGATGAGTCTGAGGAAAGTGATGATGACAGCACACCACTTGCTCAACTAATAATTAAAGGTAAGATTTTTTGTTGACAAGTAGACTTGTGACAATGCAGAATATGAAAGTGCACAACAAAGTTTTGACAGTCCTTGACCCCGTTTGAGATGGGTTTAATTCTGGTATAACACACATTTCCCATAGACTCCAGCCCGCGATATCTCGGGAATAGTCTTGAACAGGTAAAAGTTCACATTTAAAGAAACTCAAGGAAAAAAAATTAGGCATATGATGATGAAGTCTGATGACAGTAAAGAGATCAATGATTTCAAGAAACGTAATATGCATTAGTTTTTTTAGTGTGTAATTATTTTTTCAAATATTTGTCATTCATTTATCTGTCATCACACAAAATAAAGGTTGTAGTGCCTCCCAACATTTTGGAAGTGTCTTCTCACATTTTTGAAGTGTCTACATGTTTCTAATGAATTTAAGCAAAATCAAAATTAAGAACATGAGAATTGTAAGTATGTTATCTGCTTCTCTTAGTCTTGGCCTTTGAACTATATTGTTTAAGAGTTAGTAGCTTGTTAAACTAAGTTGCTATATACAGTATCATGATGACTAAATGAATATTTCTGAATTATTTTCATTGTAGACCATGTACCTCTACCAGATCAACCAAGGCTAGACGTTGGAGATGTCGGTGTCACAATGACAGGTAATGTACATGTATGATACTATTGATGAAACATTGTTGGCCTACATACTATTCAGTTTGGTTTTATAACAATATGATAGCAATCATTGAACTAAAATGCTATGCAGTATCATGATGTCTAAATGAATATTTCTGAATTATTTTCATTGTAGACCGTGTACCTCTACCAGATCAACCAAGGCTTGACGTTGGAGATGTCGGTGTCACAATGACAGGTAATGTACATGTATGATACTATTGATGAAACATTGTTGGCCTACATACTATTCAGTTTAGTTTTATAACAATATGATAGCAATCATTGAACTGAAATGCTATGCAGTATCATGATTTCTAAATGAATATTTCTGAATTATTTTCATTGTAGACCGTGTACCTCTACCAGATCAACCAAGGCTTGACGTTGGAGATGTCGGTGTCACAATGACAGGTAATGTACATGTATGATACTATTGATGAAACATTGTTGGCCTACATACTATTCAGTTTAGTTTTATAACAATATGATAGCAATCATTGAACTAAAATGCTATACAGTATCATGATGTCTAAATGAATATTTCTGAATTATTTTCATTGTAGACCGTGTACCTCTACCAGATCAACCAAGGCTTGACGTTGGAGATGTCGGTGTCACAATGACAGGTAATGTATGATACTATTGATGAAACATTGTTGGCCTACATACTATTCAGTTTAGTTTTATAACAATATGATAGCAATCATTGAACTAAAATGCTATACAGTATCATGATTTCTAAATGAATATTTCTGAATTATTTTCATTGTAGACCGTGTACCTCTACCAGATCAACCAAGGCTTGACGTTGGAGATGTTGGTGTCACAATGACAGGTAATGTATGATACTATTGATGAAACATTGTTGGCCTACATACTATTCAGTTTAGTTTTATAACAATATGATAGCAATCATTGAACTGAAATGCTATACAGTATCATGATGTCTAAATGAATATTTCTGAATTATTTTCATTGTAGACCGTGTACCTCTACCAGATCAACCAAGGCTTGACGTTGGAGATGTTGGTGTCACAATGACAGGTAATGTATGATACTATTGATGAAACATTGTTGGCCTACATACTATTCAGTTTGGTTTTATAACAATATGATAGCAATCATTGAACTGAAATGCTATACAGTATCATGATTTCTAAATGAATATTTCTGAATTATTTTCATTGTACATCATGGACCTCTACCGGATCAACCAAGTGTCGGTAGGCTTGATGATGGAGATGTAAAGCAATGAAAAGTAATGTCACAAAGTTGGCTTACATACTTTTCAAAATGATTTGATGATCATTGTTAGCTTGTATTCATATGCAGTAAGTGCCATTTTTTTATAAATTTTTCATCAAATTTTCAATTTAGTAAAGTTAAATATATTAGTTATTTAGGCCTATTAATAAACCAGACTGAGATAGTTGATAAAGTGATATTCAAGTTTTTCTTTGTTTTCTATATTTTTTTAATGTTCTCTTTTTATTCATAGACGTGCCTCATGAAGTTCAGATGTGTGAACATTTCACATGTTTACATGAAGTGTTTAGTACATGCTCCCAGTGTCTTGTTTTCCTGTGTGAACACCACTTTAAAGAGGACGACCCATGTGCAAACCACAATAACTATGCTGTAAGTTAAACTAGCGTAATGTTGATTTCACTAAAAAATGTCTCATAAATTATCGTAAAGCCCTTATACAGTAGTTATAGGGTCAAAAGGAAGTTATAAATCCATGATAATTGTTACATCATTCCTTAAGCTGTTTCTGCTAGTTTGCTTCCTTTTTTTGAAGATGTTGCAATAGTCAAAAGTATCTCCCCCCCCCCTGATAATTGTTTAAAATCACAAAAACAATAAAACTGTTAACTTTAACGTCATTGCTGCCATGACAATTTCAGGATATGTTCAAAAAGTTCTCAAAAATGAATGTAAGTGGCACTCCCCTGGTTATGGGTACTGGTATATTTAAGTTTTGACTGCGGCAAAGCTGAAAGATGAAGGTATCATGCCAACTATCTTACAAAAGATTACAGTGCTCTCTTTATAATATTATTTCTGGCTACACATATTTTTTTACTACCATAGCATCTACTTCAAATTCCGGAGAGGCTTTCAGAAGATCATCCAGTGATCGACACAGTTCTGGAATTGATGATGGACGTTCCCTTAGCAATCGAAGTGCAGGAGACAGTTGACATAGTTCCAGAGGTGACTATACCAATGTTATCCAAGCAGACAGTGAAGGTCATGGGAGGAGTAGTGAAAAATATTAATGTCTCAAATGTCACCAATTTGAGTTTGTAGTTTACAGTGGGCAATGTCTTTAGGCATTATATGTCAGTTTGTTGGAATTATGCTGTTGCAGACACCTCTACAATATTCATTAATCAAAACAACAACCTTTTAAGCAAACTTTTGAACCATTTATTTCTCCTACAATATTTACTACAAAAATGGGTTTTACATTTCTATGTCATAAAGTTTATTCTTGTGTACTTTACAGAGAGTGGCTTCTGCCTATCACACCATCAATGCTGAAGTGGAACCCGATCTACACAGAGATATTGGAGAACGTCCTGAACAATGTGAGGTAAAAGTCTGAAGCTTTAAAATGGTTGCCTGTTACAAATTCTGCTCAGGGAGTGGAGAATTTTCTTTGACAAAGATAAATGTATTTTTGTTGTACCGGAAAATGGCTGGTGTACAGCTCTTTAGACACAGTAATTGGAATAATTGCTCTACTTCCCTCTGATTGAGGGGTTCTGGGACAAATGACCATGCAGAAGTACTGCAATTTTCTTCTTTCTCCTCCCATCTCTCTCTCTTTCTCTCTCTCTCTTTCTCTTTCACTCCCTAATTTCTTGATGATGGCTGGGTTTGAAGGTGGGATAGGGGAGAGAGTGAATCAATGTATTTTTTAATTAAATCAAGGCAAGAGAGGAGAAGCAAAAGGAGAGAAGCATGCCAGCCAGATTGCAAGGTTACAGTCATTTACATTGACTTGCTGAAGTGTTGACTCCTTCATCCTTCACCAGTTCAGAGCATGAATATGTTAAACTAATATTTTGTCCACCACTTTTATATTTTTATTCTAATACAGAATAAGAAAGCCAGGAAACGTTTTGCAGATCCAAACAGCTGGCAACAAAACGTCCAGAGGAAGAATCGCAACCTGGGCCAGGCATATACCTCAAGAGATGGGAAGCAGAGGGAGGTGAGAGAGATGGGTCCATGCTGTCCCAATTCATGTAGGTTCAAATGTTCAGAGAGTATTACTGCAGATGCGAGGGAAAAAATCTTCAAAGATTACTGGGCAACAGGATCTTATGAACAACAAAGAGATTTCATTCGACAGTGTGGGTCAGAAAAGAAAAAGGGGAAAAAACATGGTTCAAAGGAGAAGGCATCACGCATCACCAGAATATATTCTCTCCCTATAGACGGTCAGAGAATTGAAGTGTGCCAGTTCTATTTCATTAACACTTTGGCTATCTCCCAGAAGACAGTGCGATACACCCTTGCCCAAAAGGCTAATTTTGCGCAAGATAAGAGAGGGCATCATCAGCCACATAATAAAACCAATGAGGCTGAACTCGATTGTATCAGGGCCCACATCCAGAAGTTCAAAGTTGTCCCCTCTCATTACTGCAGGAGTACGACATCGCGTCAGTACCTCCCTGGCAATCTTAGTGTTAATAAAATGTATGACATGTATGTAAAGGAAACTGTAAATCCTAAATCCCTGACCACATATAGATATGTGTTCAATAGTGAGTTCAATTTAGGCTTCCATGCGCCTAAGAAAGATGAATGCAAGAAATGCACAGCCTTTGATAATGCCTCACCAAATGAAAAAGAAGGCTTGAAAAAAGACCAGGATGATCATGTTCACAATAAAATCAAAGCCAGAGAGGAGAAAGAGAAGGACAAGCAGCGTGCAAGCAAGGACGACAGTTTTCAATCATTTACTTTCGACTTACAGCAGGTTTTGTCAACCCCTTCCTGTAATGCTTCCCTTCTTTTTTACAAGAGGAAGCTGTCAACATATAACCTCACGTTATACAATCAAGGAAATGGCGATGGCCATTGTTTCTTGTGGAGCGAGATTGATGGAGGGAGAGGTTCTTGTGAGATAGGCTCATGCCTTGTCAATCATCTTGAAGGGCTGCCTGATTGTGTTGACCATGTCACTCTTTTCAGTGATTGCTGTTCTGGGCAGAACAGAAACAAGTATGTTGCTGCAGCATTACTCTATGTTGTACGTACTTCTTCTCTTTCTGTTATTGAGCAGAAGTTTCTCGAATCTGGTCATACGCAGATGGAGGTTGACAGTATGCATAGCGCCATAGAGACGGTCAAGAAGAAAGTCCCTGTGTACCACCCTGACCAGTGGGCAACTATTGCTAGTCTGGCTAGAAGGAACAAGCCCTATCATGTCACACAACTTCACCATCATGAGTTTGTGGATCTCAAAAGGCTCGCTTCAGAGCTTCTCCAAAATACTGTAAAGGACATTTCAGGTGATCGTGTCTACTGGACCAGAATCAAGCACCTGAAATTTGAGAAGCAGAACCCCCATGTGATGCAGTTTAGGTACTCATTTGAGGAAGAGATGCGAGAGATTAGGGTGTCTTCCTCCCGCAAGATGAGTAACTTGAGACTTGAAGTTCTTCATCATGATCTGCTCAAGATCAGTGCAGTCAAGAAGGCTGACCTTGTTTCCTTGTGTGACCAGAATGTCATACCTCTTGCATACCAGGCATTCTACAGAGCTTTGCCAGCCTCTGATGATGAAGACTTGGAGACATTCCCAGAAGAATGATCTGTTATTTCGTTGTTATGAGGAACTCATGAAAAGTATAGTTTCTTGAGGTGCATCACATGTTGTTTCCTTGTTGCGAAGAATAATATTTTAATAAGTTTTCAAGTAGTCTGAAATACCAATTGCATTATTCACTTTGTCAGTTTATTGTGGAAGATTTAGTAGTTGGAGGTATTGTAATGAATTCACCAATTATTATTGTTAAGTTTGTCTGCTGTGTCTGTTATATTGATCATTGCATAAAAGCAACATAAAAAAAAACATTATTGAAGTAATGACAAATCACCATACACTAAGACACTGACACAGTGCTCTGTTACAAGATGTGTAAATGGGTTATGTTATAACTTTAATCTGATCGAAGTACAAAAATTGTACAATAATTGTATTCACTGGCCAATCATTACATAAAAGCAACTTAAAACAAATAATCGGTGAATTCATTACAATACCTCCAATTACTAAATCTTCCACAATAAACTGACAAAGTGAATAATGCAATTGGTATTTCAGACTACTTGAAAACTTATTAAAATATTCTTCCATTGCATATATTGAAATAATAGCAGAAGATGAAAATGATTATTCCATGAAAAGGAACTTGGGATTTACGGACAAGGAAATCTAGAGCGTTGTAACAGGAAGGAATTTGAAAATGGGAAAAAGTCAAAATTGAAATCGGTGTAATTTTATTTTTTACGTTTTTTTTTCTCCAGTCTTCTGTTTCATTCACAGGATATTCACTGCCTGTAATATGTGACGGTCTTGAGGTGAGTAAAAAAGAAAGTTGATGCTTTAACTTGGACACTTGACTTGATCAAATGTCATGGTTTGAGTCTTAAGCAAAACATTGCTTTATTAGAACAATAAAGCTGCCAACAGAGAAAGCTAACAAGACTTTTCAGAGTTCTGAACTTAAGCTCTGTTAAGACGTTCGTGATCAATGATGAACACAAAAGCTCTTTTTAAAGCTGTATGTACAATGATGTACACATAAACTCTTTTTGAAAGCACAGATATGTTCTGTTCTCATGGTTTTGTACACAAAAGCTCTTTTCAGAGCTACGTACATGTTCAGTAATAAACAAAAGCTCATGTTAGAGCTAGAACGTGCTCATCACAGAATACACAAAGTTCTTTTAAGAGCTACCATATTGTACTTTCTGCCATGAACGTGTGCTACAGTTTCACTTATTGGCATACTTTTTTAAAATTTTGCCTTTGATAATGCTGAAATATTGTTCAGGTATTTTCTCTTTTGTTAACTTACTGCACAGTACGTTAACTGCAGAATACACAAAGTTCTTTTAAGAGCTACCATATTGTACTTTCTGCCATGAACGTGTGCTACAGTTTCACTTATTGGCATACTTTTTTTTATATTGCCTTTGATAATGCTGAAATATTGTTCAAGTATTTTCTCTTTTGTTAACTTACTGCACAGTACGTTAACTGCAGAATTCACAAAGTTCTTTTAAGAGCTTCCATATTGTACTTTCTGCCATGAACGTGTGCTACAGAGTCACTTATTGGCATACTTTTTTTTTATATTGCCTTTGATAATGCTGAAATATTGTTCAAGTATTTTCTCTTTTGTTTACTTACTGCACAGTACGTTAACTGCAGAATACACAAAGTTCTTTTAAGAGCTACCATGTTGTACTTTCTGCCATAAACGTGTGCTACAGTTTCACTTATTGTCATACTTTTTTAAAATTAACTTAATGCACAGTTATTGCGATTTCTACATTTGCTTTATTGCTACTATTGTTGTATATACAGTGCGTCCCAGAAAAAACGAAAACGAGAATTATTGATGTTTTATCATAACTTAATCACATTTATACTTAATAAATGACACATATTTGGAAAGCTTAGATCCTCTTTGATTTGATGCAACTCATTATGATGCATATTTCATGCATGAGTGATTAAAATCAATTTGAAGAGAGGAAACCGAAAAGTCGTTTGGCGGGCAGTATCTGAATTTCAAAGAGAAAAATCACATTTCTAGAAAGTTGAGTTTCTGCCCTTTCATATGACACCTCTATGAGGAAAAATGAGCAAGGAATGACAAAGTTCTGTTTGTTTAAAGTAGCCCTTACATTTTCATAATTTTAGCAAACAAATTCGGTTTTACTGGCTGCCTGCCGTAGCAAAAAGCAGAATTGACAAAAGACTTAACTCCGTTTCGTTGACAATCAGCCATGCACGAAGTCTTTCGTCTACGGCTTATTGTCAACGAAACAGAGTTAAGTCTTTTGTTAATTTTGTTTGTTGATACGTCAGGCAGCCAGTGAAAAGGAATTTGTTTAATCAAATTATGGAAATGCAAGCACTACTTTAAACAAACAGAACTTTGTTATTCCTAGCTCCGATTTTCCTGATTGAGGTGTCATGTAATAGGGCAGAAACTCAACTTTCTAGAAATGTGATTTTTTGTTAGAAATTCGGATATCGTCCGCCAAATGACTTTTTGTTTTCCTCTCTTCAAATTGATTTTAATCACTCATGCATGAAATATGCTTTATTATGAGTTGCATCAGATGAAAGAGGAGGATCTAAGCTTTCCAAATATGTGTCATTTATCAATTATTATTGTGATTAAGTTATGATAAAACATCAATAATTCTCGGTTTCGTTTTATCTGGGACGCACTGTACAATGGCAAACAAGAAGAAAATTTGAATGAGTTGAATATTAAGTATTCTAAACATGAACTGTAAAAAGCTCATTCAAATTATTATGCATTGAATATAATCCAGCAGTATTGTAGTACATGAATAACAAAAAGCTCATTTTAGAGCTAGAACAGGTTCAACGCAGAATACAAAAAGATCTTTTAAGAGCTACCATGTTGTATTTTTTGCCATGAACGTGTGCTACAGTTTCACTTGTTGTCATACTATTTTATTTTATCTTATTTTATTTGCAGTAAGTTTACAAAAGAGAAAATACTTGTACAATATTTCAGCATAAATAATGCTGAAATATTGTACAAGTATTTTCTCTTTTGTAAACTTACTGCACAGTTTTTAAAACTATGCTACAAAAGCTCACTAGAGCTAGAACAGGTTCAATGCAGAATACAAAGCTTTCTTTTGAGAGCTACAATGTTGTTCTTTCTGCCATGAGCATGTGCTACAGTTAAAGGTAAAGACCAGTATTGGAAACGCCCCAATTTCAAAAAATGAAATGGAAGCTCTTATTACCATTCATGTGAAAGAATATGTTTTGAATAATACATGATGATAAAAATGTTGACGGGAAACCGCTTACTAATTGATATATTTGTTAAATTAGTGTATCTCTTGCCTGTTGAGAGATACAAATGCACGTGTCGCGCACGTGTGTGTAGTCCCATATACATCTTTCTGTGTACAGTGATTCTAACTTTATGAAGACTTGGCCAAATTTCTTATCATTTTGATGATTCCAGAACCTTGCAGTACATCTATGCTAGATGATCAGCCTTTTCTGATCGATTTCACAATGTTTCTTTCACAATGCAATCGCATGACCATAACTGGTCTTTTGCTTTAAATAAGTTCCAATTTTGATATTTAAACATGATTCATTATGATTTATCAATTTTGAATGATTGTAAATAGAATTGTAAAATGAACTGTACAAAAAGGATTCCAGTTATATTGCAAAGAAATAAATTCAGTCATAACCATGACGGAAGTGTTCATCTTAACATTTGATTGCTTTGTGCTATTTAACGTTTATTCTTATATAGTTACATTTGTTCATGGGAGAAATGCGTCCGAGAGAGTAATGTACTAGAATGAAAATGACTAATGTGACAAGAAGATAGACACGTGACTGCAAAAGAGGGGTAACAAACGATTATGAGATGTGTTTAATGGAGAAAGAAAAAGAGAGATAGACTGAGAGATCGATAGAAATAGAAAGAGAGAGAGAGACAGAAAGAGAAAGAATTGAGAAGAAATTGTACATAGTGCTTGGTGTGCCCACCCCCCCCCCCAAAAAAAAAAATGTACACAAATATACTTTTGCTCATTGACAACAATATCCAATCAAACTTAAATCACATAATATTATGAAGCACAATGTACAGTATACATTTTTAGACATAAATGGCATTCTCTAACAAATTAATGCATTTCCTGCATTCTGTGAAGGATTAAAGATAAATTTCAGGATGGGGCAGAGTGATTTGATCAGTGTAATTTTATTTTTTACTCTATTACTCTCTGAATATATTGACCTCTTTGTATAGAGATACGAATAAGAGGAAATATAATAGAGTTCGAAATCATGGGAATAAATTCCGGAAATCAGCGTAAAGTAATTATTACTATTTGAAATTCCAAATAGCTTAAGGAAACATGAAAAATACCTTGGATATTATAAACGATGTACTTGGTTAATGCATTAAGAATTACCCTTACATAATAATTAGTAAATTATCGTGATACATTGTGATTTAAAAGCAATTGCTGATAAATTGAATGAGTTTTTTGTAAATATTGGAAGTGAAATCCGTAAAGCATAACCTAATACTATTAATTCATGCTAAAACAAAAGCAAACGAAAAATCAAATTTGATAATTTATCATCACAAACTTTGCATGCGTCTGCTTTTTATTTCAAAAAGTCTGAATGACAACACGCTCCATCCGGGCTACGCCATGCGCGTTACGCCCTTTTACAAGCTTTACGCGCCGAAGCGTATCTATTTTACTCAAAGCAGAAGGGCGTAACGCGGCTTGCGCCCTTTAGCTTGAAAGAAGACGCGCAATGATGCGTTAAGCAGAAGGGCGTTAGCACTAAATCGCCTCAAACTTGTATAAAACTGACTTATTTCCGGGAAAAAATATGTGGACGTGTTCTGCTTTAACATTTCTATAAGTCCAATAAGTTTTAAACCAAATTTCGGGACGGAAAGCAGTTTAAATATAAAACAAATCTTTAAATGCGATTAACTCGTAAAGTAGTTTTCGAGTCGAACGCGCGCTAACGCCCTTCTGCCAGCCGTGCGACGACACACGAGTTAATGTGTTTTTTGCTCTCAACAGACTGGATATATGCAATATAAATACATGTATTTTGTGTCATTTGTGGTTCTTGGTGATGATGAATACACTAATTATGATAGAAGAATGGTAATGCTGCAGATAGTTACATTTCATTGTTGTTTTGTTGTCTTTTTTAAACGACCTCATGTATAGTACACTTTTACTTGAAAATCGAAAGCTATTGTACATAAACCAAATTGAAAACACAACTCTATCAAGTTTCCCGATGTGTGTATGTTGAACCGACCAAAAAATATAATAAAGTGGCGAAAATAACATTGTTGCTTTTGTTTCATTGTGCTAGGTTATTTATTGATTGAAAAC